TAACTCGGATATGATCTTGTGCTAACATTTATCATTTGACCTTCAGTGACCATCACCCTTTGGAGGCACAAGGAAGCTATATACCTATTACAAGTCAAGAAAGAAATGGTACGCTGTCATTGATGCATAAACCATGACATTATATTGTAGAGAAACAAGCACATGCTCCGTATACTTTACTAAATAATAAGCAATGAAGCTTCAAACCTACTTTGTAGTGCATTAAATAGGTTTATAACTATAACTAGTCTTTGAACATGTAACCCCAAATCATCACTTTTGAACATTAATGCAAGTTTGAAATATCCAGAAGAACTTTTCCATTAGTGCTGTTCTTTTTTCCCCCCAAAGAGAACTGACAATTGAATTTGTGAGGTAAATGACCAGGGGCATATCACAAGGTGAGTTTAAATGTAATAACGTTGGAAATTTTGTCAGTCAAGACAGAATTTGCTTCAGGTGGTGGCACAAGATCAACACTGAATTAGGGCACTTTCCGGTAGCAAATTTAGAATGCATTTGTAGACAACATGATGTCACCTAGATTTGCTTACAATCTATCGATGATTACGGGCAACAATTCTCTGGTGTCTCACTGGCACTGCCAACTACAATATAGGATCTTATTCAAAATTACATCAGCATTTTGTAATCTGCACGACACTCGGTTTATATGTGAAATGAGAGTCAAGATATCCTGGCTTAAATTCAACCATAGGCAACGTCCCCGCATGATATATGGAATTAACACAGTTGTCTAGTCACAAATTTGGATTATTTCGTCACAATCAAAACTACTAGTACAAAAAACAGTGCTTTACAGGACTTAAGACTTGTGTCATTCTCCCTCTTGAATGCTAGATCACTGGTTCAGAGGATAGATGAATTGAAAATACCAACAAAAAAAGGTATTACTGCTATCTCTGAAATGTGGTTCTCATCAAACATTGACTCTAATTGTAACAAGAGTTTAATAAGTGGTCAACCGGAATGCTACCCTCTGTTGACCTCATCACATCTCATTACAGTACATGCATTATAGTGACATTGCATTCATGTCTTTTAGAGGGAGTTTACAGCATGGTGTAGAGCACGTACATGTAGACCTAGAACACGATGTAGATTGAGTTGAAATCTGTCTCCATTGTCTCTGTTTGAGTCAGTCTAAGACCCACAACTATAATCACTTCAGTATAGCTTGTTTAGCAGAGCAAGGAGCCACAAAAGCGGTGATGGGGGTGTCTCCTTTCACATAGGAGATAATATTCAAGCCCAAAAATCTGTAACATGTCAAAGTCCCTGATCAACTGGAAGTATTATGGATATGGGCTAGACCATCACGTCTACCTAGGTCAGTTTCTGGCCTAATTTTGGCTGTTCTCAATCATCCACCATCACCATTGAAGACCTGCTTATTGAGTAGGCCCACCTTGTATCAACTCTAGACATACTTCAGACAAAATGGCCATCATCTGGGATCAGTATTCTAGGTAATTTCAACAAACTGGATACTGACTTCATTGGTTGTTTGACAGGACTTGACCAGATTGTCAACACCCCTACAAGGGGACTTGCCATGGCCTGGACAAAATCTTAACAAACCTGAAGAGTCACTACCATGCTCAAGTCACTGGTGACATGTCACCCATTGGATTAGGTGACCATAATACAGTTTTGTGGTCACCACTGAAGCCAATTTCATGGACCAAATTCCATTCAACANGTCTTTTTTCCAGGTTACAGATGCATAAACCATGACATTATATTGTAGAGATACAAGCACATGCTCCATATACTTTACTAAATAATAAGCAATGAAGCTTCAAACCTAATTTGTGGTGCATTAAATAGGTTTATAACTAACTAGTCTTTGAACATGTGACCCCAAATCATCACTTTTGAACATTAATGCAAGTTTGAAATATCCGGAAGAACTTTTCCATTAGTGCTGTTCTTTTTTTCCCCCCAAAGAGAACTGACAATTGAATTTGTGAGGTAAATGACCAGGTGCATATCACAAGGTGAGTTTAGATGTAATAACGTTGGAAATTTTGTCAGTCGAGACAGAATTTGCTTCAGGTGATGGCACAAGATCAACACTGAATTAGGGCAATTTCCGGTAGCAAATTTAGAATGCATTTGTAGACAACATCATGATGTCACCTAGATTTGCTTACAATCTATCGATGATTACGGGCAACAATTCTCTGGTGTCTTACTGGCACTGCCAAATATAGTATAGGATCTTATTCAAAATTACATCAGCATTTTGTAATCTGCACGACACTCGGTTTATATGTGAAGTGAAAGTCAAGGAAATAACCACCAAGCCAACCTGATTTCCTGGCTTAAATTAAACCGTAGGCAAAGTCCCCTCATGATATATGGAATTAACACAGTTGTCTAGTCACAAACTTGGATTATCTCGTCACAATCAAAACTACTAGTACAAAAAACAGTGCTTTGCAGGACTTAGGACTTGTGTCATTTGCCCTCTTGAATGCTAGATCACTGGTTCAGAGGATCGATGAATTGAAAATACCAACAAAAAGGTATTGCCACTATCTCTGAAATGTGGTTCTCATCAAACATTGACTCTAATTGTAACAAGAGCAGAATGCTACCCTCTGTTGACCTCATCACATCTCATTACAGTACATGCAATATAGTGACATTGCATTCATGTCTTTTAGAGGGAGTTTACAGCATGGTGTAGAGCACGTACATGTAGACCTAGAACACGACGTAGACTGAGTTGAAATCTGTCTCCATTGTCTCTGTTTGAGTCAGTCCAAGACCCACAACTATTACACTAATCACTTCAGTATAGCCTGTTTAGCAGAGCAAGGAGCCACAAAAGCGGTGATGGGGTGTCTCCTTTTACATAGGAGATAGTATTCAAGCCCAAAAATCTGTAACATGTCAAAGTCCCTGATCAACTGGAAGTATTATGGATATGGGCTAGACCATCACGTCAGTTTCTGGCCTTATTTTGGCTGTAGGCTCTATCATCCACCATCACCATTGAAGACCTGCTTATTGAGTAGGCCTACCTTGTATCAACTCTAGACATACTTCAGACAAAATAGCCATCATCTGGGATCAGTATTCTAGGTAATTTCAACAAATTGGATACTGACTTCATTGGTTGTTTGACAGGACTTGACCAGATTGTCAACACCCCTACAAGGGGACTTGCCATGGCCTGGACAAAATCTTAACAAACCTGAAGAGTCACTACCATGCTCAAGTCACTGGTGACATGTCACCCATTGGATTAAGTGACCATAACACAGTCTTGTGGTCACCACTGAAGCCAATTTCATGGACCAAATTCCATTCAACGNCCAGATCGTACGACCAATTACAGACTCTGAGAAACACGAGTTTGACCAGTGGACTACAAATCATGCTTGGAATGCCATCACGTTTGCACCAACATCCAGTGCCAAGGTGGAAGTCTCCTACCAATCTCTGCAGAATGCCCTGTATTAAATACCTTCCCACCAAGATTGTTTACGTTCACAACAATAACAAGCCTTGGATGACTCCTGAGATAAAATCCCTCGTTAAATGACGGAGGGATTTCAATCAAGGGAAAAGTAGTCTCTGGAAATTCCTCCGTAATAAGATTACTAGGCTTATAAAATTAGCCAGGTCTGCGTTTTATAGTGCAAGTATAAATAAGCTCAACATTGGCAATCCTAGGCAGTGGTGTCAACAAGTAAAGAAAATTGCTGGTTTTAAGTGTAACAAAGTTTCAACTTACCTGGTATTCATCCCTGGAGATTGCCAACATGATTAACAATTAAGTTCACCTCGGTATTAAGCAGATGATATTCCCTGTTTAGATCTGGGTAACCGACCTTACCTGCTTATTTATCCTCTGAATGGCCAGTTCCAGTTGTAAAGGCGCAACAGGTTTTCCCTACGTTCAAAAATGTTAATTGGGCAAACCTGGGGGGCCTGATTGCTTCCCACCCCGTTTGATTAGGAATTTGTCTTTGAGTTGTGCTTCCTGTTGGCCAATATCTTTAACTGCTCTTTTGGTGAAGGTATTATACCTGAAATCTGGAAAAAAGCATTTGTAGTACACTGTACCTACAAAAACCATCCTCAAAGCTTGGAGTGTCTTCGACCCATCTCGCTCACATATTTGCAAGATTTTTGAAGACTTTGTCGTTGAATGGATTCTAGTGATATCAGACTTGCTATTGATAATTGTCAATTTGGTTCATTGAAGGGTTTATCTACGACCCACTGTTTAGTCAGACGTCTAGATGACATTCACACCATTCTCAATAAATCACAAAATTATGCCTCGGTAATTGCCGCTGATTTCAGTAAAGATTTCGACAGGGTTGATCAAAATATTGTCATTAATAAAATTATCAAATTAGGGATTACTACTTCTTTATTTCTTTGGATAGGAAGTTTCTTGTCAAACCAGTTACAGGCTGTTTGATTCAACATGTACAATGATGTTCTGTCAACTTGGGAGACTTTACATGCTGGAGTTCCCCAGGAACAAAAATTGGACCTATTGCATTCCTAGTCATGATCAATGATTTTGCTCCTAACCAACTGGACATAAAACATTACGAATATGTTGACGATTTGACACTTTGTCAGACTTTTGCCAATCCTAATAAAAGCTCAAGCATGCAAGGTGAGCTCAATCACCTAAAACACTGGTCTGACTCGAACAAAATGAAACTGAACCCAAAATACCAGTATATGAGCATTTGCTTGCAATGCAATCCGGCACATACCCCCTTTTGTTATATCTGATTTTCTGATTTGCCAAACAGAATGTATGAAGTTGTTGGGTATATATATACAGAGTAATTTGAAGTGGGACTCCCATATAAATAATATGAGTAGAAATTTTAACCGAAGGCTTTTTTCCTTGTGAAAACTCAAACGAAGCCTAGTTTCTATTAATGTCCTTCTGACAGTGTATGTTATGTGTGTCAGGCCCATGATCGCATACGCTTGTCCTGTTTGGTATTCTGGACTAAGGCACACATTGTCACTCTAGAAAGGCTGCAAAAGAAAACCCTTAGTGATCTCAGTTCTGCAAAATCCTATAAATAAATTTGTCAAGAGTATTGGCTTTCAACTATAGCTGACAGATTGGAACAACTCTCCTTAAATTTTGGCAAAACCCTCTTGGATTCCAAAACCTATAGGCATTGGCTTCCTAAAACTGAAATAACAACCTGTGAAATTCTTATCAGATGCAGACCCTGAAATACCAAACTAACCGATATAAAAGGAGCTGTATCCCATCTTTTGTAGATGCACTTAATAAAAGTAATTAATTGGTTTTGCTTCAACTTTAGGTTTATTGTTGGGTCTGGTTGTGTGGTGATAGTCAACTCTGCTTAAAATCTGGCTTATGCTTAGGTGTATACCCGGTTGGTACTGGGATGAATGATGGTTGTTCTGTGATAACCTCATGTCTGTTCTTTCTGTCATAATTGTTTTGTTTTTGACTTGTGTCTTTCTTTATTTGTATCCTATGCCCTTGTTGCTTCTGTTACTTTTGATACTCATTCCATGCCATATTTTGTTGTGATTTGTATTTGTATGTCCCTTGAATGTTTGAATCTTTCTAGTCTTAGGCCTGTTAACGATAATTGTGAAAGTATTTTTTAATTATTGTAATAATTAATATCACACGTCCACGTGTCCTTTATATTGTCATCTTAGCCTTGTATTTCTGTGTATTGCTTGTCATGAAATATTTGTATATTTTTTATGTAGATCAACCTTATTATGTATTAATTGTCCTGTTTTTACTGATTCGTTATAATGTATATATAAATGCAATTCAGCCTCTGGCTGGGACGGTTCTATCTTTAATTAAATAAACCAATAATAATAATGATTACCGAAATTGGGTCATTAGGGAGACATTCCCATAAGAACGTGCACAAATTTTTTCCAACTTTACTGTCCCATAATTCAATATTCCCTTATCCAATCTTAACCAAACTTTGCATGTTTTCATTTTAGACCCTAATCTATCACCTCTCAAAATTTAGACGGTAAAATTAGGGAGACACTGAAATGTCTCCCTAATGACCAATGTCTCCCTAAGGTTGAAAAATTTACAACAAAGTGTCTCCCAAATGACCTATTTGTGGCAATAATAATAATAATTAATTGCACAACTAGTCAAGTAGACTCATTTAATATAATTACTGTAGGCGAAATTAGAATCAAGCAGGCATGTTGTGCCACAGGTACTACAATTTCCTGGACCACATTGCATTGTTAGGATTCCTGATAAATGCAAATGCTGTCATGAGGGAGATCAAGCTCTTTCTGCTTTCAGACACAATATCACACTGTGCGTCAGTGATCATGGTGTTTGACTCGTGTGATATTTGAGTTCAAACCTCAACAGGATTTGCAGTGTTTTGTGCTTCTAAGGTAAGGTACAACTGCCTCTCTCTAGTCCAGAGATTGAGTAGATTCTGAAGCCACTGAATAAACTCCCATGCTCTGCTTAAGTTCATCTCTAATTCTTTCACAAGCCTAGCCACAGCCTAGTCACAAGTCCAGCTGCAAGCCCAGCAGCAAGCCAAGCCACAAACCTAGCCACAAGCGCTACCACAAGAAGCAGGATGAAAAGTGACAAATGAATGAATTTGTCACAGTTCATGAAACAGCTTGTGACTTGACCTTAGACTGTAGCTTGTGACTTGACCTTAGACTGTAGCTTGTGACTTGACCTTACACTGTAGCTTGTGACTTGACCTTAGACTGTAGCTTGTGACTTGACCTTAGTCTGTAAGACTTATGATGGAAGTGACTAAACCCCCTAATGAATTGAACATACATGTACAGCTTGATGAATAATAACTGTCAAGTATTTTGACATTGGTGCACAGCACCATGTGAACCCCACATTCTTATTTTGATATTCAATGTATTTTATTCAGTGTTCTACATGAAACGGTGGCAAAAGCAGGAAGTTCATCACTAATTCTATCTGGTTATAGAGTAGGATCCTTGACGTCCCTTGCATCTTTGGCATTTATTTGTCACCTTGTTGCTGAGGATGGTGGTGATGGCACAGTAGCTAGTCTCTCCTGGCAGATGAGCGTTGCTTCTTCTAAATCATGCTGGAAAATGAACAACAACATCTATCGTTTCAATGTGAAAAACTGTATGTTTGTCTCAACAGTCAGAGAATTCTATCAAAGCTGAGTCATTAGAGATGAATAAATTCTGGTTAGATTTTTTTCTCTATTTCTCCCAGGTAAAGCTGTCTAATGGGACAAACTGAGCTAATTAAATCAAGGACAAATGAAAAGGTTTGGAGCATTCCAGTGAGAAAACCTGCCATTTGCTTCAGTGTGACTGTATTCCCATTGGACCATTTGGCACTTAGAGATTATCCTGACAACATATGTGAAACTGGAAATGATGCATACGTGACCCAACTTGAAATGAGTTACCATTCTCCACAGCAACTTTGGAGTTAAAGGGTTTAAAAGAATCCTGCACAATGTAAATCAAGTTTCACTCATGTAACATTCATTTGTAACAGCTCACCAAACAGAGTGGTATATTGGTTTGCTCTTTCTTATCCAAACTACAACAAAATTACTGACAACATGGCCTCAAGATTTAAGTTGTGGGATCTGGTCACATATCTTTGGGGTCATGGCTGTTACCGAATAATCAAGGACTAAGAAGAAAGTCGGAACTCTATGCACAGAGAACAAGCAGGGAATGAAATAATCATATCAACTGATAGGTTACTGTACTATAACTTGAATTTTTAAATTAAAATTGTAAGGAAACATGTTTTTTTTACTTCACTATTAACACTTCCTTTTTTAACCGTTTTTTTTCTCACATCTATGTATATTCTGCACTCAACAGTTAAGATGTCTACACTAATACGCAGGAGGTCATGGGTTCGAGTCCCACCCAAATAAGCTTGTGAATTTTATTCCCAAGCTCTCAGCCAAACACTGAATGTACAATGTTATGAATATTCGTTGGTGTAAGGGCAAAAATCAGTATTAAAAACTAACATCTCCCCCACGCCAAATATATCTTAAAATAACACTTCCTTGTTTTCTTGATTTTTGAGCAATATTATTGTTTTTCATCAAAAGTTAGTGCAAGGCCATTCGGTGGCACTAGCCAGACACTGGTTCTATACATGGTTCAGCATATACATGTACATGTACCTGTTTGGTACATGTACTGTACATGTACATGGGCATGGAATCCCAATCATCCCAGTTCATGTTCTGTTTTCCTGCTACATGTACATTGCTTCTTTGACCTAGCAAATCAAAATGTTTCTCTGTCTACAACTATGTCCTGGTATGCCCTATAATAAGGGACAATTTCTGAAATATCATTCAACATGTGTTGTTCTCACAACTTCTGTGTCAGCATGTGTGCTGTTGTTGCAATTGCTTGTGTAATGTTCTGGAGCCATGCATATATGACCTTTTGCTGCCAATGTGTTGGAGTCTGCCATTGAAACTTGGGGGGGGAGGTTGTAACCTACCAAAAACCTTTTACCCACTTAAGGGCAACAATGTTGCTAGAAGCATCATGAAACCAAGTAAGTTTTGATTGTTTTAGTATAATTCGTGATCACGTGAACTTAATCCACACAATGACGCTGATGTGTTTGACAAAACATAATTTAGTTACTTTTTGTGGATTTAAAACTGACCAGCAATCCAACAGAAACATTTCATTCCAACAAAATGCCAACATAATCTCTTGGAATAATCCAAAAGAACATTCCAACTTGGTCTTCTGAAAAAAATCTCCAATCCTAAACAAATCTTTGCACATCAGAATGAACAAGTTTCACACAAATCACACTAGGTTTATGATTTTGCCTGTATGACGCACCTTTCAGTAGGACTACTAAGAGCCCAACTATTCAACAGGATATGAACCACATCTTAACGTTTGACAGTTCCACCTACCTGCAGAATGTGAACTCCTTTGAGTGAGAGCAGAATCAGCTCATACAGTCCATCTGACATCAAGTCTACGTACTTCAAGGCAAGTAAAGGATGAGCAAAGCTCCGCTGCCAGACAAGGTGATACTCCCCAGGACAATCATCCCTACCCTCATCATCAATATCATCCTGGCACTCCTCCAAGTCTTGCTCCCTGTCTTCTCTTCCATTAGTTCCTGTCATGTTTTCCTCTGCTCCTTCTTGGTCTCCCATCTCTAGTCTGGTCCCCGAGCCAAGCTCATCCCCTTCTGTCTTGCCATCATGGCTCTCAACATCTCCTTCTGATTTCATTGATTCCTGTGTTGTTGGTTTTCGGTCATCTCTTGAAAAGAATTTGTAGCACAGTAATTCCTACAAACATAACAACAGCAACAATTCATTTATAATGCCACTCCTTAAAGAGTGTGCTTAAAATGAGGAATCACTATTACTTACATTCAATTCCCCCAAAGCAGTGTGGTAGTCAAGCCTGTCACAAGGCCTTTCACAAATCCCTTCACGAGTCCAGTCACAAACCCATAACAGAATGAGTGATTAATATAGAGCACTTTTGTCACAGTTCATTTGATAAGCTTGAAATAACACTGCTAAAAAGCAAGAAATGAATGACAACTTTGGGCAAATCTTGACAATCAGACTACTTGGAGTTACACCCTAGAGTTATACATAAAAATCAGAGCGCTGACTCGTGTACAAAGCGATGCCTGCAGGGCACACGTATCTATGTTTGTGCACAAATCTAGGGAAAACTTGAAATGTTGTACATCTGTTGTACGGCTATTTGCATATCTGCATCTGTATTCTAAAACGTTGCATCAACAAAGCCAATGCTCCAAAAACCTAAACACACAATCAGTCAATAAGCATTTCACTTTGCTCTGCGCAAATAACCCAAATGCGTGCTGGTATGCACAGCAGATAAATTTTACCGTGACTTTTTTGAAAAGGATTTTATCAGTACCCGATGAGCGTTGCATTGAGATTACATAATCTGATATTCATTCTATCTGATTTCAAATGTTCTACAAGCAAGTGGATTAAAAATGTCTGTGCCCAGGACAGTGTCAACGTTTGACAGAGAATGAGAAGTTAACATTCTAATAATCTATGAGCTATCCACACACAGCTGGATATCCCCCTAGCTGAAGCAATAACCCATCTACTTTCCCTTTGACTTCAACAACCAAATTCTACAGACGGATGTTTGGATTCAGTGAAACAGAGTCCAGCCAAACCTGCAACCCTTTTTCCCAATTTTGGATTGTTCTTCGCAGATATACCAACAGAATTCTATAATATCTCAAATTTCAAATTTCCTCTACTATTTCAATTTTTCTTAGGGGATTCTTTCACAAAATACAGTTTTGTCAAACAGGTTATGTGTAAATGGTCAGATGAATGGAGAAGACTGAATGACAATTTCCAAATCAAAACATTTCAAACTTGCTGTTACAAGATCGGCTTTGGAAAACATCAAGTTCTAAATGCACTGGAAACACGTCATGGAATGAAGGTAACATGATAAGCATTTCCTGTTCATGATCAGTCACA